TTGAAGATTGATTGATTTTAGAGATCGCTTCGCTATTTTTTTCACCCTTCTTTAATAAAATAAAATTAATATGACAATTTATATTATTATTTTTATTTGACTCTGTATTGTGCAGCCAAACAAACGGAGTAACTTGTTGCTTCCCCCAATCAAAATCTTACACGTCAGATTTCTGCTCTACTTAACAATTTTGGAATTTTTACACCTAAAAAGAGAAATTTGTTAAATTACCACACCTAAGATTGACCATTAAAATTATTAACAATCTAAAGAGAGAACTCAAGTCTATTAAAACCCAAAATTACCATCTACGATACTCTTCAAATTGTGTGTTGTTTTCATTAAGAGAGAGAACAAACGTTTGCTTCAAAGTCATATTTATTTTAGTCATCAAATGGAAAGAGCATTTATCATCATAGTCGCTAAGAGGTAAATCATCGTCCCACAAAACCGCCATCTTTCCACCATAATCAGCCAATCTAACACAAGTAGTACGAGGAAACTTAGTTAGTCCTACCAAACCCTTCAATTTTCTCGATTCGCTTACCTCACTGTCATACCAACTGAAATAACTACCAGAAACAGAGTACATAACATTCTCTATCTCGCAATAATAAGAATTTGAATGCTTCGGTCTCAGTCCAACCAAGTCCCATCTACCTTCCTTGGAATTGTAAGCAACAACATCTCTGCCAGTCTCCAACTGGAACTTTCCGTCAACACATGCGCTTTTGGAGCAACTAGTGCATTTTCTCTCGCTCCAAGGGATGGGTAAAGGATCCCAAATTTGTGTTTCTGTGTCAAACACCTCGATCGAGTCCTTCAAGGAATCGGGATTATTACCATCGTTGTAGCAACCTGCGGCATATATCTTTCGATCAACGACACTAGCAGTAAGTGACAAAAGCTTCACCCGGAAGCTTTGAGCCTCGCTCCACAGAGACGCTACTAGAGAAACTGGATCCACCAATGTTGTAGATACTAGAACCAACCGCCACTAGACCCCCACCCGAGATGTTGACAGGAGAATATGGAATTATGGCTCTAGCCAAAACATACCCACTTGACTTGTTCTTCTTCTTACTCGTGTCATTGGGTTGGGTTTTCATCAGGCTTCCGGCATAGGGTGAACCACTTAGGGCTCCAATCAGAATAAGAGTATAAGCACACGTATAGACAACTCTCCGTGTGTCCCAAGAGTGACCGAGCCTTGTAAAGCTCCCGTGAAGCAAGGAGAGACCGAAAGCTCTTGGAGACGAGTGAGAGAGTCGGATAGTAAAACCTTGAGACGCGTGCGAGGCAACTCAATAGCAAATCATCGGGAAGTGATGGATTTTGGTTCGATTTCGATTTCACCGTCGGAGACGGCTTCCTCTTATTCCTTCTCTTATTTCCCGGTGACGACATTGATGGAATCTATGATGATACTCTCTCTCTCTCTATCTATTTAAAAACTGTTGGGCTTTATGGGCCCGTTAACAGATTTATGGGCCGTTAACAAATTTTTTAATTTAAAATTGCAAACATGAAGCAAACGAGGCCGCATGGGCGTGAAGGCATCGAGTGGATATTATTAACATCAATAGATGGGAAAATAGGACCCACACAAACGTAATTTTGTGATGTGTTTGTTATGTAGTTATTATTCAGCTGACAGTCACATGCGTTTCGCTGACTATAACATAACCATAATATTGTCAAAAATATTGCACATGCCTCTGATTTTGTAGCCCTTACGTGTATATATATTCAATTAAATTCCCAATTATTACTGGAATCAACCAAAGCCAGAATTGCCAACACCATCTCTTGCTCTATAATTTACACTTGCATCTGCCACAGTTCACGTTAACAAGATCATTAAAATATCCCTATAGAATTCTTATACGATCTTTGTCAATCATTAAAAATTTTCAAAAATACTTTGATTTTTATAAAAGGTGTTCTTTAGCACACACTAAAGCTCTTTTCCTCTCATTTTAAAGTTTTTTTTAATAACTTTAACCTTTCTCAATTCCTCTTATAATTACCTTTTGAATATATAACACCTACTATACGATTTACTAATGAAAGCCTAAATATATCTCTTGTTCTAAACATATCTTGTTCGATTAAGGAGGCAGGCACAAGTGCCAATACGAAAACTGGAGAGCATGAATTAAGGAGAAAGTCGGTTTGAGCAAGACAGAGAGACAAAATGCCATCAATGGGGTCCATCTCCATTACCTATTTCTACGTGATTTCCTCTCTCTCTCTCTCTCTCTCTTCCATAACTCGCTTTTCTTGTATAAAGTCGTAGCATCTCGAGATCGTGTTCCTCTCACAATCTCAAACTCGGACCCTCTCTCTCTCTCTTTCTCTTTCTTCTCCTGAAGCTCCTCACTCACTCTTCTCC